TTACTCAAGCCCCAGGCTTTTCCTGGGGCTTCAGGGAAGAGTCTGGGTCTGCAAAGCAGGCGAGCACAAGATCTGGGGACACCGTGAAGCCGCCCACACTGGGGTTGAAAAGGGGGCGGGCGAAGGGGGCGGGGCCTAGGCCGAGGGACAAAGGAGTTAAGCCCCAAGGGGGCGGGCCCTAGAGCGCGCGAGGGCTGTGGTGGGCGAGTCGTGGAGGGGGCGGGGCCTCGGCGGTGAGGGGAAGGGGTTAAAATCTTAACGGGGCGGGTCCTGGAGGGGGCGGGCCGGGACTGTGGCGCCGACGGCCATGTTGAGGCCCCGCCTTACCCTTCCGCCCGCTTCTTGCCGCGGCGGCCTGAGGTAAGACGCGGCCCACACAGGCCGGGTTGTGCGCGGTCGGCGCGGTGGGGCTGCAGTGTGGACGTGGCGGCGTCTGGTCCGCACGCGCAGAGCGCGGTGTAGGGCGCGGCGGGTGCGAGCTCTGAGACGCCGGCCCCGGCCCCGGCGCGCGCGAGCGTTTGCTGCAGGCCGAGGGCGGGGGCGCTGGGTGGCGGACCTTGGCTGGAGACGCGGCGTCTGGCTCCAAACCCCGTTTCTTCACTGAGCGCGGAAGAGCGCGGAAGCCCTAACCTAGGCGCCCGGCGCCTTCTTGCAGCCGCGTTTATGAAGGGCGCCCTTCTTCACGCGGCCTTTCCCGTCACACTTGCTCTTCCCGCCCTCGCGCCCGCCGGCCACCGCCAGGAGCTGTCTGCCCAGTGATCAGGAGACGGGCCGCAGAGTGTTGGCAGCTCCCACGGGCCTGGTGCGGGAGACCCGGGGCCCGCTGGCCCCCCTGGATGTCCCCCTCGTCGGGTCAGTCACCCGGCCCGGCCCCCCCCCCTCCCTGGGCGCCGCCTGGAGCTCACAGCAAGGGATCGGGGCGGGGTCGGGGCTCGCCTCTGGCGCACTTGCATGCCCTTTGGCGGTCTGTCCCGTGGGCTCTTGCTGACTTCTGTAGGCGTCGGGGGGTCGTTTTTGATGGGGTCGTCGGGTTGCTGGCTTGTGCCGGACCTCGAAGGGGAGCATTCGAGGTTGCTGGAGGAAAACTAGCTGACTTGGCGTGTGCATGTTCTTGCCAGCGGTGGTGTAAGTGCTTGGTGAATTGACTCCTTCAGTCTCAGAACATACCGTCAAATGGATCGTATTCTATCCCATGTTAGAGAGAGGGAAAGGAGGCGAAGGAAGGTCTAGTGGTTTGCCCCAGATCATGTGGTTGTGCGGAGGAGCCAGAACTTGAACCTGAGGTACCAGAACTTGACCCTGAGGCACTGACTCTGGAGCCTGCGCTAAAACCGTTCAGTGGTGACCCTGAGTAAAACCATCCAGTAGAAACTTCCAGACCAAGTTAGAATGAGTCATAGTTGAGTTTGACTAAATTAAGATAATAGAAAGTGAGACGAGGAACGTAATGGGACCACTGCATAATTTTGAGACCCAGTTTAAAGTTTTTTGAGTTCTAGGATGCTATATCCTCCCCCCACCTCCCACCCTGTGGATTAGAAAATTGCATGTTGAGCAAACCATGTGAGTTTTTATGAAGGAAAAGAGACTATTAAAATGTGACCAATGTATATATGGATTTTTATTCATCTTTGTTTAACTTTTTGTCAGTAATCAACTCATCGTTTAGATTTTATAAAACTTTCATGGCTTAGGGCCTCCCTGGTGGCGCAGAGGTTAAAGACTGGGCTATCAAGCTTTCGCCAGCCACTGCAGCATGAGTTCCATACTCCCCCTATCCTCCCTTGGCCAGGAGCAACCTACATGGCCCAACACACCTCTCCTGTCTCCCCTCTGATCCCCTCAGCAGTGTATTTCAGTGGATCCGCCCGTACTGCTCCTCACTCTGGTGAATCCTCTCACCACCACACCCACCTCTGGTCTACACCCCAGTTCTTGTATGCATAAATAAATAAATCTTTTAAAAAAAGAAACAACAATAACAACAACAAAACCCTTTACTGGCATCAAGCTTGAAAGAATATATTGTCTTCCATTTCAGTGACTTTCTGGTTTTCAACTGCTAGCTCAGCAGTTGAGCAGGATTAGCTCTCTATACTGTTATGGCCAGGGAGAGGTGGTCAGGCATTTCTCATCACTCTTCCAAGCTCAGTGAAGGGATTTGGAACTAGAGGACACGTCTCTGGACAAGGTCGGTCACTAGGTGCCCCTGCCCTGGCCTGCAACCCTGACTCATGTGCCTTAGTTAATGTAAGCTATGTTTTTAAACTTGACAAAATGTACTTAACACTATGAACTACACTTAAAAATGATTAAGAGAGTATATTTTATGTTAGGTGTTTTTTTTTTACAACTCTCAAAATTGAAATTAAATAAAAATGCTAACCAGAAAACCCACGTAGGCCATGTTAGACCTGAAGCTGTGACATGTATAGGTATCCATTGAGCAGTAAGTTAAAATGGATTAAAGCCCTAGCTTTAATGCAGGACTGATCTTAGTGGGATTTACAAGACCCACTGAGAGAATCTTTCTTCTCTGAAGAATATTGATATTCATTGACTTCCTAGGATAACTTTGTAACTTCACTGGCTCTGTAATTATTGGCTTTTTGGTTTTGTTTTGGGTTTTTCTTGAGAAGGAAAATTTTTTTTTCGTCATTCTGTCCTCTGTTATTACATTTTTCCCATAAAATCTGTTTTAGAATATAAGTGTAACATTTCTAAAACAAATGACAACTTTGTAAGTTTCCATTTATTTATTTTTTACTGTGTATTAGTCACTTCAGCTTTATCATAAATCTAGTCAATTTCCTCACCAGTTCCTCCATTCTAGCCAGTCAAACCAGTCAAACCAGTAGTACTTCCATTCCTTATCTCTTTCCTCCTAGTAAACTACTCTTAGCAAGGCAGATTCAGGCTTTTAATCTCCCTCTACTTTTCTATCTCCCATTCCTATTTTCTTGACTGCAGCTGCCTACATTTCATACTTCCAAGTTACACTTCAACAACAACAACAAAAAAACTTTATTCCTAGGAATGTTACTTCAGCAAAAGTTTTTGACCAAACACTAAGCCTTGTGACAAAATAGTATAAGATTAAGGGAGAGATGAAGTGATGGTATTGTTCTCAGTTGCATTTTTCATGTTATCCAGGATAGACAAACATCTACAGAAAGAAAATTTCTCTGTTGAGAATGTGTAGTACATTTCTAAATAAACTTTGTTATGAAAAGTATTTTTCATTTATAAACTATTTGGTCTTTTTATTTTTCAGGATCATTTACCCTTTGGTGCAGACAAAAAAGCAGGTAGCACTTGGACAGGTAAATTTAAATTTTATTGTGTTAATCTTAAAAGTTGAATGAAATATCTGTTAACTTGGTTTAAAATGTTATTTTTATGTGGAAAATTTTTATTGAAAAACATTGTATCTGTTATATAGATACATCACATAGTATTTCACTTCTAATTCTTATGTCTTTTTTTTTTTTTTTAATTGCTCCTAACTCTTTCCTAATTTGTAATTGAAGGGAGTTTCTAAAATGGGTGGCTAGGGGAAAAATTGTAAAAGGTTTGATTTTTATTTTCTTAATTCATTCTGCCACTTTAAAAAACAGTATTTTAACTATTTTCTTTATCCAAATGGAAAATATTTGATTTTGGATTTTAGAGAAAGAACATTCAAAGAGCAGGAAATAGACTAGTAGTGGCTTACTAAAATGGATGAAGAGATAAAGGATAAGCTTATTTTTTAACTTTCACATGGTTGTATGTCAGAAGTTCAAAAAATTATTAATTCAATAGTTAATTATTAGTTATTAGTACCTCTTAATTACCATATATATACTCAGCGTACATGTTTTTGAAAGCAGGCGTAGTTTCTGGTAGGTTTAAGAAAACAGGATTCCTTGCCTCCCTGGTGGTGGCGCAGGTGGTTGAGGGTAGCGCTGTGAACCAGCCCACAGCCTCTGCAGTGCTGGTTCCATCCCCGCTGTTGGGGGTAGATACCCACATGGCGTGGCAGACCTCTCCTGTCTCGCCTGCTGCTCCCCTCAGCAGTGTATTTCAGTTGGTCTGCCTGTTCTGTTCCCCACTCTGTCTCTGGTGAATCCTCTCACCCTCCCAAACACCTGGATGGAACCCTGGTCTTGTATGTATAAATAAATTTAAAAAATCTTAAAAAAAAGAAAAGAAAACAGAATTCCTTGTAGAATAATTCAGTGAATAAATTTTACTCCATCTGGTAGGTCTGTTTATTAAAATTATACAGTGTCTGTGTCTGTTCATTATTTTAGATAGGATTATGAGCAAGGATAACTGAAGATAATATTCAATAATTGTTAACATCTTTTGGACAGTATAAGAATGATTATAGATTGAAAGTATAAACCTGTGAACAGAAGGTCATTTCCCTGTGTAATTGTAATAACCTAATTCTATAAAATAATCAAATTTACACCTTTTTTTTTTTTAAGTGTTTAAGGATCCCTTGTGAAGGCAGGAGAACATAATACCAGAGAGTAAAGTCTCTGATACTAGATTTCTGGTTCAAATCACAACTTGTCAACACAAAGCTAAGTGTTTGTATTTATTGAGGATATTACTTAAAGGTAGAGTTGAAACTAACCTTATTTCTAATTCTGCAAATATATCCCAAAATTATCTCTTTATGGTTATTTTTACATAACTTAAAGGAGTAATACTGATACTACAATTCAACAACATACGCTCGTAGAAGATTTCAGAGTGGTATGATTTCTGATAGTATGAGAAGACCATCAGAGTGGAATAATATATTCCTTACATGAGGATTTTTTATTTAGCTAGTAGGGTTTATTGACTTATAACAAGGAAGGGAAGGAGATCCTTTCTTGAGAGGTACAAATCAGAATCAATTTGGTTCTTCTTTGCTCACTATGATAAGGATAGTTTCCAACTTTTCCTGGTTTTAGTATTAAAAATTAATGTGTGATATTTTAACATTTATTATTTTTTTAACATTATTTTTGTATGAAAATTTAAAAGATTGTTGGAGAAAAATTAATTACCAAACTTCAAAATTTACTAATGACAAGTTTTACTTTTAACTTTCTCATAGCAGTCTTATGTTTTAATTGTTGGTTTGTTTTAAAAGTGTGTATTATTTTCTCTGAAAAAGTTCATAGGATATGTAAATTGATATGGTTTAGCATATGATAAAGTACCTATCACGCTGTAAAAGTGTGATAAATGTTACCTGTTATTATCAAAATCATTACTGTTACATCATTTTCCTCCCATTTTAAAGTTGACCATGCCAGTCATACTTATTCCCTGATTTCTTTGCATTTACAGGTAAGTTATTAGCAAATTTTAATTATCTAAACATAATCACTTAGTGGCTTTTTAATGTTCTTCCTTCTGAAAAGAATTTGGGGCAATCCACAACAAAAAAAAACTTGTTAATAATTAATAATGACATTCCAAGTCAAAGTTTTCTAATTGAATAATGAGTGTAAATGTCTTTATTAAAGTTAGTCAGTTTTTAAATATTATTTATCAAAGAAAATTAATGTGAAAAAATTTCTAGGTAAAAAAAAGTTAGGTGTTTGGATACTTTACTTGAAAACAATTTTGTTTCAAATTTATCAGTAACTAATTCTCTAGAAATTAATGAGTTTAATCTTTACTAATAGGAGAAGAATGGCTTTGAAACAGATTTCTAGCAACAAGTGCTTTGGAGGATTGCAGAAAGTTTTTGAACATGACAGGTAACTACTAAGAAGATAGAATTTATAATACTTCTCATGTTTCATTGTTTATTTTTTCTACTTTTAAACATATCCTTACCTGTATATTATGGCACTTCATTTCATTTTAAGCCTCTTTATTGTCTCTGTTTATCTGTTTGATAATTTTACCAGACTTAATTGGCTTTATTGAATTTGACTATGTGAAATAAAAGTTTTGAAAATGCCCGTGTTGCCAGTAAAAATTCTGGGAACATCTTCCTTCAAGATATTTTAATGTAGAAAAGACACCTAGATTTCTTGATAAAGATGTGTGGCACATTGAACATATGTACTTACCTCTGCTGCCTCCTCAAACAGGTGTTAAGTAAAGAGACTAATACACACACACCACCACCACCACCACCGCCCCCCCACATTTTCACAAAGGCATGAGAAGTAAGGAAGAGGGGCTAAGAACAATATTTTAGAAGGCAGGAATACAATACAGATGGACAAGTAGTTCCTCTCTTCACAGAACCTAGAAAGCTAACAACATGAGAAATTACATCATTTATTTAAAACCTTAGCTTTTGAGTCACCAGGTACACTTGAAAAACTTAAGAACTAGATAGACCTCACAACTCCCTAGTTCTCTGTGCAACCAGGCCATTGATTCTTCCCAACTTTAGCAAAATGATTGCTGTTTAGTCTGTAGAGAAGATAAATAGAGCCTATATGGGGCTATGGGGAATACCTGGCATAGTTGGTGATGGTGGTGAATGGGATAATACTGCAGATGAATTCAGTGAAAATTTACGTACTGAATGTAGAGATTCCCTAACCTTTCTCCATTCAGCTTCCAGAATTTGGTGAGTTAGATTTATTCCCAAAGAATAGTCTTCTTGGAAGAATCTGACTAGCTCAAAAGAAGAAACCTAGTGATATTGAGATTTTCCAGAAGAATGGTCCTGTCAGACCCCATTCTTTAGTGAAGTCACAGTCACAGGCATGGTGGTTGAAGGCACTGTGCTTTCAACCAGACTTTTATTGTTTCACTTTTAAGTAGGAGTAGACAGCTATAGATCATTAGATATTTTTTTAAAGCTCTAATTTGAAAGTCAAAGGTTTAGGGAAAAAAGGAAAAGAAATTTGGAGGAAACTTCTTAAGTACTATTGTTAATATAGAAGACAAACTTCAGAAGTACTATTTTTTTAAAGATTTATTGATTTATGCATACACGAACTGGGGTGTAAGCCAGAGGTTCGAGGTGGGTGAGAAGATTCACCAGAGAGAGTGGGAAGCAGAACAGGCAGATCTACTGAAATATACTGCTGAGGGGAGCAGTGGGCGAGGCAGGAGAGGTCTGCTGCGTCATGTGGTTGTTCCCTGACCAGCTGCTACAGTGGCTGGCAATAGCTTTATATTGTTGTCTTTAACCCCTGCACCCCCGGGGAGGCCCTGAAAGTACTATTGTTAATGTCAGAGCCATACGAGAAGATATTGTCCCTCACATCAGAGTGAGTTGCTATTAGAAATATTCAAAAACAAAAAATTGAGCTCAAAATTGTAAAATTTGTGGTAGAAATGACACAACTCAATAGAAAGACTAGTTGGTAAAGGTTCTACTTTCCAGAAAGTAGAGTAAGACAAAATATGGGAAATTGAAAAGAATAATAAAATTAGAGACCCAGTCCAAGAAGTCTAACACTAAATATTAATTTTGAAAAATCAGAAATAATGGTGTAAAATAAAGAATAAAGAAATGAAGACTTTCTAGAACTGAGGGTTTAAGTTGCCAGGTTGAACAAGTTGTCCAGAGTCAATGGATGAAAATAGAACTACACCAATAGCACTGTGCATTATTACAGTTTTGGGAGCCAAAAGAAAATTCTTAATATTCAGAGAGAGGGGAAACAAGAAATAATTTCTAAAGACAGATCAGCTTAACGACAATAGGAACCAAGAAGTTAATACCGTAATTAACTTCAAAATTTTGAAGGAAGACTTTTCTGAAAGTCACCAGGTAAGGCGAAAAGTAGAATGAAGAAATTTTCTTATATGGTAGCTCTCAAAAATGTGTTCCCATATAGCTCTTTTACAGGAAGCAACAGGAGGATATGCTTCATCAAAATGAGGGACTAAAGCAGCATAGCTGAGGACATGTGATTCGGGAAACAGGATCATAAGTGAAGGAATTTCCAGGATAAGTGTGGACATACTAAGGTAGCAGCTGTACAGCAGTCGGGAAAGCAACAAGTCAAAAGGTCTGGAGATACAGTAGCCAATAGTCGCATGTAGCTTTTAAGTTAAATTAATTAAATATTAAAAATTTAGTTGTACTACCCACATTTTAAGTGCTTAGTGGCCACATGTGACTAGAAGCTGTTGTATCCAATAGTGTAGCTATAAAACATTTCCATCATCACAATAAATTCTGTTGGACAGCAGTCGTCTGAAGAGATTATTTTTTAAGATGATATTGATAGAATTAACTATTGAAAGGAAAATTATGATACTGTGGGAGAGTTTAGTAATATGTTACTAATAAATACAGACTAGCCACAGCAAATAATTATGCATGAGATTGTATTATTTTGATAATTGATCATCTTAATGACATGATAAGGGTGGAGTTTCAGAAGATTAGGTGATTATGCCATTTCTTCTATGCATTTTTTTTTTTTTTTAAAGATTATTTATTTATACAAGCACTGGGTACAGTCAGAAGCACGGGAGGGTGAGAAAATTCACCAGAGCCAGAGCGGGGAACAGAGCAGGCAGACTGAATAACACTGCTGAGGGGAGCAGCAGGCGGCAGGAGAGGTCAGCGTGCCATGTGGGGCCCTCGCCTGGCGGCCCGGGATCGAACCAGCGCTGCAGAGGGCAGCCTCACAACCCAGCGCTCAACCGCTGCGCCACCGGGGAGGCCCTCTTCTATGCAATTGTTAATCATCCTGCTTCTTTGAACATCCTTCCACAACTGCTTGAGAAAGGTTCTTAAGATAGCTGTCCTGTAACAGGATTATACTCATGGTAAATTTTATTGATAACAAATATTCCTACTTTGGAGATAGATCTGATAAAGTAGATCATGAAGTAAAATGTCTGAACTCCCCCCTCAAAAGTTGAAGATCTAAAAACAGATACCAGAGCTTTTTATAAAACTTCCAATCACCAATATGAAAAGATGTTTTAAAAAAAATGGTAAAATAAATATGTGCAGAAAATGGAAGGGATCATACAGAAGATTTTTCATTAGCATCAATAAGACCTTTATAGGAGTCTATACTTAAAAAATAAATAACAAAACCAGAATTACATAAGGAAAATGAAAATTGAAAAAAAGGAAAGCGAGGGCCTCCCTGGTGGTGCAGTGGATTGAGTGCAGCGCTGTGGAGCAGTGCTGGTTTGATTCCCGGCTGGCCAGGGAGTTTCCCACAAGGCGCTGCAGACCTCTCCTGTCTCTCCTGCTGCTCCTCTCATCAGTGTATTTCGGTCCTTTTGCCTGTTCTACTCCCTGCTCTGTCTCTGGTGAATTCTCTAACCCTCCTGTACCTCTGGCCTGTACCCCAGTGCTTGTATAAATAAATCAATCTTTTTTTTTTTTTTTTTTAAAGAAAGCAGTCCTAATGGTCTACAGCATTTATTTCAGAATAGCATTTATAACTTCTTAGTACAGACCAACTAAAATTACATATTGATAGAATGGAGGAACAAGAATATAGGAGTGTATGTGGAGCAAGGTGGAGCAGGTGAAAGTTAATCAAAACCCTTTCATAATTGGAAGTCAATTGGTCATATCTAAAACTGGAAAATCAAGAAGTATCAAAAAGACATGTGAGAGATGTGTGTGGTGGTAAATACTGGACAAATATGCTAAAAGAGTTAGTGATTATCCTTGGAATGTGGCAAAGTTAGAAGGTTATGGAATGAGGGAAAATTGGTTTTTCATACCAAGATTTGTAGAAGTATTTGCTATTTGTGAATGTATTTAAATTATATGTATGTGCATGACTTTAATAACTAGCTGTTTGTTGTGAAGTAGTAAAGGTTTCCTTCTATACATTTGATTGCTTAAATAAGCCTATGAAAGATCATTGTCATGTGAATTATTATTTACATGGAAAAAATACATATGATTTTATTAACATTTTGTCTACTTTTAATTTTAGTTACTGTAATAAAGTTATCAGTGACAAAGACCAAATTAAGGATTAAAGTTCAGTACCATGAGCATACATGTTATTTAAGGTCTTTAGAATCATTCTTTTTTGTAAATGCTTATTTGTAACTTCTTGAATCTCTTTAGAAACTAACAAATTTTCTGTACTAGTATTAGTACTCATGAAGATAATACATTTATTTTTTTAGTGTAGTCTGTCCAAAATGACTATGTCATATAAAGCAAAGGTTCAGACTGGCTAATGCATTGTCATGGTAAATTGTTCCTATTCTTTAAAGACCAAGATAGAGTCCTTAAATAATGCTGGAATATCTTATTTTGGACATCAAATACTGGACAAATAGTGGACAAATACTGTGTTGACTAATGAGGTGGATTGTTCTTTTTTTTTTTTTGTCCATTGTCAAAAACAGTTGTGAACTAAATTGCAAAATGAAATTTGCGATCTACTTGCCACCAAAGGCAGAAACTGGAAAATGCCCTGTGCTATATTGGCTGTCTGGTAAGTGTTATGTATTTGAGTTTTATAATGAAATTTCTTTTTCTTTTTAACTGATTTAACTTACCCTTTTGTCTTGACTTACTGGTATGCTGAAAGTCTCGTAGTCTGTTGTTTATGTGGAGAATAATTTCAGATTTACAGAATTTCATTTTTTTTTTTCAGTTAGGCCAACCAATCCAGATATGAACTAAATGGAAGGACTCAGAGAAGTTATTTATCTGTTTGTCCCTATCCAAGCATTTCTAGAGTCTTTACCAGTGAAATAGAACAGTATTAGGTAAAATCAGAACACAGTGATATACTAATTCTCTAGAAACCATAGACAAGTAATGTCTTACAGTGTTCTCTGAAATATTTTCATTGGATTCCATAGATCTTCTCTGGCAACGGTCTGAAAAATCATAAAAGAACATTTTAATTTTAAAGAGTATAAAATAGATTGTTAGTAAAGTTTCACCAGCTGTCATTTTGAATCTCCATGCCAACTTGTCTTTCACTAGATATTGGCACTTTGTTTTTAGAAGTAAACATTACAAGAAGATTCATAGAAATCAAATTGTGTTGTAGCGTATTTTTGTTTCCTTAAAATTACTTGTTATAACTTTAATAAATCTTCCCATACATATGTTTCATCAAGGATAAGTTCCAAATTCTAGTCTTCGAAAGTAATGGTAGATATTTCACTTTAAAAGGTAAAAATTAAGTAAATTTTAACTCAGTAGTGCCTTTCTGTAATTAAATAAAGAAACCCAAGTTTACTAGAAGGCATTGGGTAAAACAACCACAATACAATTTTGATAATTTGTGTAGATGTTATAGAAAACACAGTATTGTGTAGGTAAAGGTGATTGATCTTATAAATCACGTAATATAGAATCGAAAACTGTGACACAGAGCAGTTATGTATTACTCAATATCATATAACACTATGTGGTTGAACAGTTTTCTGACTCATGTTTCAGAATTTTATTCAGCCTTTTCTCCTGTTTTCTTTGCATTTTGTTTCTGGTGAGAGCTACTAATTTCTTATCTTTTGATTAAGAGAATGATAATCCAGATCAGAGATACTAGAGTATTATTAAATAGGTCTGTAAGAGTAAGACCCGAAAGGCCTCCCTGGTGGCACAAGGGGTTAAGCACCGCAGTAGGAAGCAATTCACAGCCTCTGCAGCACGAGTTCGATCCTTGGCTGGCCAGGGAGCAACCCACATGGTACAGCAGACCTCTCCTGACTCACCCAATGCTCCCCTCAACAGTGTACTTCAGTCAGTCTGCCTGTTCTGTTCCCCACTCTGTTTCTGTGAATTCTTTCACCCCTACACCTCTGACTTGTACCCCAGCACTTGTATGCATAAATAAATAAATCTTTAAAAAAAAAAAGACCCTAAATTCCTAACCAAAAGTGAAATTTGTGAAGATGTATCACCTAAGATTTATGAATGTAAAAAATAGACAAATGACTCTATAGTTTTTTTTTAAGTGAGATGTAGAACAACAGATAGACCTTGGAAATTAAGCTTAATTTTCTAAAAAAAAAGTAAGGTAAGATTATCTGACTCGAGCATGTAAGAAATGATAGGTAGAGTTTCAGAAGTTTTATTTCCTAGTAACTTGAAGGGAAACAGTGACAGAAAAGTTACATTAATTGTTATATTTCTAAAACCAGTAAATTAACTGAAATCAAAACATCCAAACTGAAATTTTAAAAGATGTCTCAGATTGCAGTTGTTTGCAGTTTTTCCATATCAAGGTAACTATCAAAATAGCCCCTCATAAGCTTTATATCCAAGGAATTGAAAACATGTATTCACACAAAAACTTGTGTATATAAAATGTTCATAAATATATATTATTTATAGTAAAAACACATATTTATAGTAATACATTTATTTATATTAAAAGAAGTAGAAACCGACCAGGAGTCCATCTACTGGTAAAATGATAAATAAAATGTGATACATTCATACATGAAATATTTATTCAACAGCCAAAATAATGAAGTCCTCTTACATGTTGCCACATAGGTGAACCTTGAAAACATTATGCTAAATGTAAGAAGCCAATTACAAAAGACCATATAATGTTAAATTCCATTATATAAGAAGCCCAGAGTAGAGAATTCCATAAAAAATAGGATAGTAGAATATAGACTAGTAGTTGCCTAAGGCAAATGGGAGGGAATTGGGAGAAAATTAGGAGAGACTGCTAATGGACTTGGTGTTTCTGGGGTGATGAAAACGTTCTGAAATTAAATATTGGTGACATATTTGTAAATATTCTAGCAGTCATTGAATTGTACACATTAAATGGGTGAATTATATGGTATCTGAATTATATCTTAATAAAGTTATTACCAGAAAAATTCAGTTCTCATAAAAACTGTCATTGATCAAGTAGATTTTAATTGGTATTCATCTTGATACTCTTAAAAGTAATCCTTCTAGCAGGATTATCTTTACTTTTGAGTCTATACTTCAGTTCCTCATACTACCTTAAATGAGAAACTTGTATTAATTAATTTTTTTCTTGGTTTTTAACAGATTAACATTTCCCAAACGTAAGACATTATACATTGTGTCACAGATATAATTCAAGGCTCTTCATGTGTTATTTTTAATGCTTACAGCCACTTTGTGAGGATGGAATAGGCAGTATTATCCCTACTTTTCAAATGAAAAAACTTGAATATTCTAGTTACTGACCTAATTTTGGTTAGTTAATAAGTGACTGTGTGGCCTTTAGAAGCAGATCCTGTGGAAATCCCAAACTCATGCTTTCCACACTCTTGCCCTACTGCCTTTAAACGTGTTTAAAATTGCTGAACCACAAAGAAAGACGTTTTCCTCTTATGACTAGTGAGAGTCTCTGTTCTGATAGAATTTATTTAGCTGTAAGCTCCCAATACACTTTATCTAATGAAACTTGTAATTTTATACCATAGTAATTTAACAACTCTTTTATTAGTCAAACACTCTGTGATGGCTATTAAAGGATAAATGTAAATGATAAAAGTGTTCTGTAGTGACTTCATAATACTTTGTGCTTATTGGTGAGTCATGTTCCTAATTATCAAAAGAAGTTCAATATTTAGGGCCTCCCCAGCGGCGCAGTGGTTGAGTGCTGGGCTGCGAAGCTGCCTGCAGCCTCTATAGCGCTGGTTTGCTCCCTGGCCACTGGCGAGGATCCCACATGGCGCGCAGACCTCTCCTGCCGCGCCTTCTGCTCCCGTCAGCAGTGTATTTTGTTGGTCTGCCTGTTCTGTTCCCCGCTCTGGCTCTGGTGAATTCTCTCACCCTCTCGGGCTTCTGCTGTACCCAGTGCTTGTATAAATAAATAAATAAATATTTTAAATAAATAAAAAATAAGTAAAAAAGTTCAATATTTAGCATAGGCCAGTGGAAAGACACTGTTGGGTTAGGTGGTATTTAACTCAAACATCTATTGCCACTTCATTCTTGGCCATTTTTACATTATAATTAATTCATCTCCTCTGTTACATGACTTAACAGCATATTACTAGGAAAAATGGTATAAAGTTATGCAAAGATGATTACGCTGAGTTTCTTGCTGAGAACGCCCTGTTTATATAAAAATATTAAGATTTTTATATTATGATGGCCATATTATCACATATAACTATGTAAACATGTTTTATGTAGTAATTGTAATATTTAATTACTGTGTTTGATAACATCTATAGAGTTGTTAAAACATTTAGTTTATGTGCCATATTTCCATTTTACAGTTTGAAAAATTCTGAATTTCTAAACACATCTGGTCTTGAACAGTGACTAATTTTAGGACAGCTGTGGGAATATTTTACCTAAGATAATTCTAAGATTAGATTCTTAGCTAGTTCTGTTATAAATTTTACAAGAAAGGGAACTCTCGTGTCTGTCTTAGAATTATTTCTTTCACAAATGTTTTAAAATACTATCAAGTGATCTTATTTTCCTGTATTATAAAAAATATTAAGACTTATAAACCATTCACAATGTGCCATAATATTTTTATCTTCAGGTTTAACTTGCACAGAACAAAATTTCATATCAAAATCTGGTTATCATCAAGCTGCCTCAGAACATGGCCTTATCGTCATTGCTCCAGATACCAGCCCTCGTAAGTGTTATTGTTCCAGAGATACTTTGTAAAAATATAAAGCTCTAAATCTAAGTTATAAGTGGTATATGCATTACACAATTCATTTCATATTTTTTACTGTCTTCCTTTTTCAAGTGACATCATGGCAACAAAATATCCTGCAATTTTTCTTTACTTAGAATTTTACTCATGACAATGCTCTGATAAGGGAAGAGTTTTGATACTCCCATTTTATAGATTAAGATATTTCACAATAGAATTGAGCAACTTGATTACTATATCACAAGGGCACTAGTGCTGAAATAACATACAATTCATGATAATTTTTTTCCTAGTCTATAAACTATCTTAACACATAATTATACTTTTCTTATTTCTGTTAATCATCAGTCATACAGCTAAGCAAGTTTTATTATACAAAATATACTAATATATATATTATTTATATTGAAATAAAATTATAAAATGCCTAAAAGTAAACTTAAAAAAATGAAGATTTACATTTTTAAAACTGTAAAATGTACTCAAACAAAAAAAGAAGATGTAAATAAGTAGAAACATGCCATGGTCCTAGATGGGTAGACTGAATATTCTGACGAAGTCATTTCCCTCAAATTGTTATGCATGTTATGTAATGGTACTCAAAATCTTAGTGGTTGACTTTTTAACTACATGCAAGTATATAAAAGAAAACCTAATACATTAAAAAAGAATGTAAGAATATTCCAGTGGGATATAGGTAAATAGGGCAAACATGTTGGAATAATTCCAAAGCTTATAAGGAGACATTTTCAGTTCAATATAGTGAATTGAACACAGCATTTTCTCCCTTACCTTCTACAAGCATAGTGGTAGAGAGAATTAAAGAGGTGATAGTAATAGGAGTTGGGCATGAGGGTAAGAATCTCAACACATTTCTTTTTTTCTTTTTGTTTTTATTGAGGAAGCAGTTTACAACACTGTATAGGTTCTCCCCTCAGCGGCTGTATATATCTTAACTTGCCCATCACCAAATATCCAGTCACCATCCACCACCAACTAACCATCCCCCTGCACTCTTACCCCCTCTCCTTTCCCAACTCTGGAGACCACCATTCTGTTGTCAAAGTCTAGGGTTTTTTTTTTTTTCCGACATATTTCTGAAAGACAAACGAGGATATAGACCTTTGACAGGTAAAACTGCATGAGGATGCATGTATTTAGAATACACACAAGGGAACTTCATCGACAAAGTCATTGTGCTTTTCCTTGGCAGTGAATCTATAGCCTGGAAGTTCATTCCCTCACTGACCTCATTGAGTAGACCTGGTCATATGGCTCTATGCAGGCATAAGTGGCCTAGGAAGTATGTGCTCCAGAAGACAGTGAGCCCATGGTGCTTGATGAACACCTCTAATGTAGATAAACTTGCAGATTCACTTTAAAGTGTGTTATAAAACATGGGTCATTACTGTGGAGTAGATGAAACCATGTAAACTTTCCTTGATAGGTGGCTGCAATATTAAAGGAGAAGATGAGAGCTGGGACTTTGGTACTGGTGCTGGGTTTTATGTGGATGCTACTGAAAATCCTTGGAAAACTAACTACAGAATGTACTCTTATGTAACAGAGGAGGTAATTTTATTCTATTTGTAACATAATTTTAATAATTGCATAATCTGTCATATGCTGTAATATATTTTTTCCTAAATAAGATGTGTTTTCTTTTTATTCACCATAGTTAATATTATGCATCAGTGATCTTTGTATATAATTTTCCCTTACTTGGTACTTGACCCTTAGAATAGATTCCAAAAAAGGAAATTACCAAGACAAAAGAATATTTTACAGGTTCTTTCTGTGTCATGTTTACAAAGATGCTTTCTAAAGAGGATGTACTGTATATTCTCCAGTGATAACACTAATAACCATTATCTACTTTTTTTTTTAAAATCTTTACTAATTAAACTATTTTAAGACTGATTTGGAAGTATTAATTATGTAATTGTTTTACATAGTTTTCGAAAAAGTGTAAATGTAAACATTTCTTTCATAGCTTTTGTTCCACTATTAAATCCTTTCTAGCTTCCCCAACTCATAAATACCAATTTTCCAGTGGATCCTCAAAGGATGTCTATTTCTGGCCATTCCATGGGAGGCCATGGAGCACTGATTTGTGCTTTGAAGAATCCTGGAAAATACAAAGTAAGATAACTTAAGCTTCTAGTGACCAATATTTCTCTCTGATAATATAATATTAGGAACTTTCAAAGACTGAATTAGGATTTTGTTATTTTAGTAGTGAGACTAGACTTTTCTAGTGTTGGGAATTTCAAGGAGATACGGGAGAGGAGTATTAAATTTGACTACTTAATATATGCTATAGAATCAGAAGTATAGGATTTCTAACACAGTGTGGTTTCTTCTTCGACTTCCTTACTATTAAAAATATCTTCTGTTTTCATTATTTCTATTCAAACTATAGCTTAGTTTTCTGGGTATTTTTTTTCCTAAAGGTTATTCTTGGTTATTATTATGCAGTATGTATTATTTACTTATACATTTTATGAGGAATATCTTTGTAAAGTTGACTTTGATTTTCAGAGGTTGAAGATATTCATGACTTGTATAAGTTAAAGATTTTCTATTCTCAATGCATCTGATGAATATTAGAGAGCAGGTTGATTGACAAACACTACTCTCAGTTTTCCTGCTTATTCATTTGAAACTTTATAGCTTTACTTTTTTTTTTTTTAACTCAGTGAACCAAGGTGGAATAAGTACCATATGTAGTATCATGCTGTGCAGAGTAGCATAGCATAGTGTTAAGGAAAACATGGTGAAGCAATGATCATATAAGAATCGCTTCTGTTTTTAATATCACAGAGCTATCAGAAACCTCAGAATTTATTTAATTCTTTTCTGTCCCATTGGAGGAACTTGTAAATCATGTCAGGTGTGCCACTGAGAAATGGAAATATTTTTCATGGCAGTTTCTTGCTGTGGCACTAAATATTTTTTTTTAGAAAGCGTTACTATAAAGTTGAACCTTAATTCATGTATGTCATTAGCAGTGGGTTTTTGAAATAGCGTTTATTTTCCATTTTTTGTACATAAAGCAATCAATGTATTGTGTGTAAGGGAGAAAAACAAATTTAGTTGAAATTTATGTCTTTAAAAAGTTAGGTATAAAAGTGAAATTATAAATCAGAGTTTATAATGTAGTTGTAAACTGACTTTTTAAACAAGTTGCAAAGATCTGTTTATATTTGATTAGGCAAAATATAACATGTTTTAAAATGTCCTTTGTTTCTAAAGTCTGTGTCAGCATTTGCTCCAATTTGTAACCCAGTGCTCTGTCCCTGGGGCAAGAAAGCCTTTGGTGGATATTTGGGAACAGATGAAAGTAAATGGAAGGTAGGTACTGGATGACTGTCTAAATACTCATTCCTAAGTTTTCAGAAAACTTTTTTTGTTTATTAAAAAACTGTTCACTAGAGTTATATATTTCTAGTTCTTCCAAATTAAGGATACCGAGCTAAAAATACAACAAAAAATCCCCACAACATACTAATTGTATTAAAAATTATGTCAGATATCTTGAGATCTTTTTTCCCCTGCTAATAATGGTTAATGTTTATTTCTAAATTAACATTACTTCTAAAAACATTACCAGAAGATGCTACTTATTATTACTTAATTTCGACTTACCTGTTAACTATAATATATACTAAATTGTATTGTAAGAGCCAAAAAACATGGATTTTTAATTATTTTATGACCTGTTTTAAAATTCATCATCTTTAAGATTTGGATTTTAAATTGCTGATTTAAAAATCTTCAGAAATAGATACTATCAAATGTACATTTATGTAAATACTCAAGTTTACTTTTTCAATCATAGGAACAGATTCTTCAAAATGACATTTAAAATGTCTGAGACTCCTGAGACTTATTTTACTTTTGTGCAAAAATTGGCCATTTGCAAACGCCACCAATAATTTGAATATTTTGCAAATGAGCTCATCATCTCATGTATATTAACAAGTAGAAAATACTTGTATAGAAAAAGAAAGTTTTTGTGGTCTTTGAGTTTTGTGTTCAAAGTTATTCACACATGTATCCATATTTTATTTAAGATTGATCACCGAAATTCTAACAGAGAGTTAATCTTTTAGTCAATGGATTAGGGTTTTATTTGTTTAAACTTACATATTTATTGTATTAGAATAGTGCAGGAAATAATTAGTATTAAATACTCTGAGAACTGACAATGTATGTACATTGGTGTGTTGAGTCCTCACCTAATGCAGATTCTGTGCTGAGTTTTGAGATCTTATGTCATGAAGGTGATGACCTTTTCCCATCCACAGGGACCGTGGGCCTAATAGAAAATTTGGGTAACAGGTAATCTATAAAGTAAGCTAGTTATGAAATCATGGAAGTTAGAACTAGCTGAACTTTATAAGTCCCCTTTCCCTCTCTTTAAAGGCAAGAAAATTAAAAAACGTGATGCTTAGGAAGGGCAATATTTTGGTTTCTGTTTGTCTTGATTGGTGCATGAAATTTTTGATTAGTGAATATATAAATGAATAATCAATAATATTTAATGGTGAATGGTAATATATAAAATTGTAACTAGTAGCAACTCCTCACATGATAGGAATTAGTTATTATATGATTCAGATTTAGTCAAATCAAGTCTTCTTAAAGTATGTGGAGAGAGGAGACAACTGATGCTATTCAATAGACAACCAAAGAGAGGGCTGAATGTATTAGTGTCTGACAAAACACAAGGCCAGAAAAAAAAAATTTCATTGAAATAGAGAATATTTGGAAATAGAGACATTAGAAGAAATCATTTTTGGAAGGGTTTTCAAAGAGAGGATTTTATCTCTTTTGGAACCTTAAAGATTATTTATTTAATAATTTGTTCATAGATGTAGCATTGGATTACAGCATTTTCTAAGTTCCAGGCATGGATCATTATAAATCAGTGTCTGTACATACTACATTAAGTTCACCACTAAAAGTCCAAGTCTATCCTTTACCTTAACTCTTTAAACCTGATTTACTCCCCTCCTCCCCCTACCCTCTGGTAACCACTAGTTTAAAATCGTAAAGGTTTAGAAGGAAAAAGGCTAAGAAGGATGCTTGAGATACAGGATTCTTGTCACTGTTTGAAAACTGCTTTAAAGTAAGGAATAGGCTGTAATTGGGAAATTGAATTCTGAAGACCTTACAAATAAAAACCAGGCAAGTGAGATTTTAATCCAACTTAAAAAGCATATTTTTGAGTTAATCAGCCTTCTAGCTTAAATAATTTTAAATTTCTATTTTGTTATAGTATAGTATCTCTGAAGAATATCTTTCTGTACACCTTTAAATTTATTTTTCAGTATTTCTTCTTTCTATAGGCTTATGATGCTACTCATCTTGTGAAGTCCTACCCGGGTTCTCAGATAGACATACTAATTGATCAAGGAAAAGATGACCAGTTTCTTTCAGATGGACAGTTACTACCTGACAACTTCATAGCTGCCTGTACAGAAAAGAAAATCCCTGTTGTTTTTAGATTACAAGAGGCAAGTACTAGGAAATCTAAGTTTATTCTAAATAACTATAAAAAAACTAAATTTCTGTAGTATTTCCTTTATTTTTTAAAATGTGTACTAAAATTTAATAATCTATAAAAGCTATAATTTAGTTTGCCACCTCCTAGCCCCTTTTTCCTCTTCCCCTTCTTCAACATGTTATGGCTCTCCTTAATTTTATTTTAGAAGTTGATTTATATTACCATATTAAGACTCATTCCTATTAAGTTAATGACATCTAAGACCATGGAAATTTCCATAGAAATAAGAATGCTTTCATATTTAAGTGTAATGTGTCAAGTACATTTATCTAAAACACAATTATAATAGTCAAATAACTAGATCAAAATGTATACTGTGGTACATTACAGTTTATAAAATGTTTTCACAATATTAGCTTATTTTATCTTTATATAACTAAATGAGAGATTATTTCTATCATGTCCGTACATTTTATTGTTTTAAATTTTTTCAGTTTTTTTAAGCTGGTAAAATATACATAAAATGTACCAGCTTAATTAACTGTTTTGATTTGTACAGTTCAGTGGTATTGAATACATCATAATGTTGTGCAGCCATCACCACCATCTATCTCCATTACTCTTTTCATCTTGTAAAATTGAAATTCTATACTTATTAAACTAACAATTCCCCTCTGCCACTCTTTGGCAACAACCATTCTACTTTCTGTCTCTATGATTTTGGCTACTATAAGTGTCTCATATAAGTGAATCATACAGTATGTGTCTTTTTGTGACTGTCATATTTCATATAGTATAGTGTTTTCAAGGTTAATTCAAATTATAGCATGTGTCAGAATTTTTGTTAAGGCTGAATAATATTCCAGTGTATGTCTGTACCACATATTGCTTATCCATTCACCTGTCAATAAGCTCTTGGGTTGCTTACATGTTTTAGACATTGTAAATAATGCTACTAAATACAGGAGTGTATGAATATCTCTTTGAGACCCTGCTTTCAATTCAATTCCAGGAAGTAGAATTGCTGAATCATATGCTAATTCCATTTTTAATTTTTTGAGCAACATCCATGCTGTTTCTATTCTGGCTATATCATTTTACATTTCTATGCACGGATTCTAGTTTTTCCACATCCTCATTAACACATTTTTTTCTGGCATTTTTTGATAGTAGCTATCCTGTCAGAATAAGTTGGTATCTCATTGTGATTTTGATTAGTATTTCCTGAATGATTAGTGATGTTGAACAAATTTTCATGTGCTTATTGGTCATTTATATATCTTTTCAGAAATGTCCATTCAAGTCCTTTGCCCATTTTTAAATTGGTTTACTTTTTGTAGTTATCAATTCTCTGTATATTCTGGATAGTAATTCCTTACAGATATATATTTGTAAGTATTTTCTTCCATTATATAGGTTGCATTTTTCTCTGTTGATGTTGATTTTTAATGCACATTTTTCTTTAATGTTCATGAAGTTCAATTTGACCATTTTTTCTTATGTTCTCTGTGCCTTTGGTGTCATATCTAAGAAATTGCCAAGTCCAATGTCATTGAGCTTTTGTTCTGTTTGATAAAGATCCAAATTATTTTCTTTACACACGGATAAAGTTTTCTCAGCACCCTTTGTTGAAGACTGTCATTTCACACTTGTCAAAAATCATCTGCTGGTATTTGTAAATGTTTATTTTATTTATTTAAACATTTGTGTTTTATTTATTTATTTTTAAATTTTTATACAAGCACTGGGTACAGTCAGAAGCATGGGAGGGTGAGAGAATTCACCAGAGCCAGAGCGGGGAGCAGAGCAGGCAGAAGGACCGAAGTACTCTGCTGAGGAAAGCAGCAGGTGGCAGGAGAGGTCTGCGCGCCATGTGGGTCCCTCCTCTGGTGGCTCTGGAGCAGCCGGGGATTGAACCGGCGCTGCAGAGGCTGTGGGCAGCTTTGCTACCCAGCGCTCAACCGCTGCGCCACTGGGGAGGCCTGTAAATGTTTATTTTTAACTCTATTTTATAACAGAACTAGAAGTGGGCTTCTTTGTCTTGTTCTGCTCTTAAGGTTTTGGCATTTCACCATTAAGTATGAAGTTTACTGTGGCTTTTCATTATGACTCATCCATTTTTTTGTTGTTCAAAAGACAAAATCAGAATTGACCTACTTACCTAAAGTCACACAACAAGTTTATGTTAGAAACAGGGCTAGAAACAAGATCATGTGACTGACTATACATGCTGTCCTCCTGTCCTCTGTCTACCCATTTCTAAGCAAGGTGAAGCGGTGCTCTGAGAAACAAAGGGATGTAAATAAAACTAGCAAAAGGAGAAATTGTGCATAACCAGCTACCTGCCTAACTTATATAGCAAATTTTAGCAATTTTTTAAAATTGATATTTAATTAATAGATAGTTTGATCATGTAAGCAATGTGTATCTGTACAGTGTGGGAAAACATGTTAAAAACCAGTACCTTGTTGTCTCTTAGTATCCATTCTTAAGTAATGAAATTGTTGTAGATTAATTTGAGCTACATGTCTTAGATCAATAACTAACTCTGATAAATCAAAACACTAATTTGGTTATAAATGCTGTAATGCATTCAATTATAATTACCTAGTTATAAGTTACATAACAAACTGTTTTTTCCCAAAATGGCTTTAACTTCTTGATACTTGCAATGTTTTTTTTTTTTTTAATAAGTTTGAGTTTCTTTTTTTTTTTTTTTAAGATTTATTTATTTATTCATACAAGCACTGGGTACAGTCAGAAGCGCGGGAGGGTGAGAGAATTCACCAGAGCCAGAGCGGGGAGCAGAGCAGGCAGAAGGACCGAAGTACACTGCTGAGGGGAGCAGCGGGCAGCAGGAGAGGTCTGCGCGCCATGTGGGACCCTCCTCCGGTGGCCGGGGAGCAGCCGGGGATCGAACCAGCGCCTCAGAGGCTGCGGGCAGCTTCGCAACCCAGCGCTCAACCGCTGCGCCATTTCCCTTCTGTGTCCCCAGAGACTGAACCAGGAAATTCTGTTTTACTACCAACAACAAAGTTTCTCCTTTTCAACAAAATTAAAATTCTCGGGAGTTTGTTATAAAAATAACATAATTAGGACTGATGAAATTCTTGGAGGGAAAAAAAAATCAGCTTATTTCTAAAATGTTCATATCCCAAGCAACTAAAAACATAGGTGGCTGTACTTAATGATGAGTCAAGACAGTGTATTCAGTTTTTCAAAAATGTAAGAAAATAAATTGAAATCACCAATCACAATCTTTAGCTTAGGCAAAATTTTCCATTTACTTTCCTTCCAACAAGGTCATGTGAACTGCTCAGTCTGAAGCAGGTTGTGTTTAGATTTGTTGTAATTGAATGAGCAACTGAATGGGCAAGCCTAGATTTTCAAAAAGATTTTCCAGCCAACTTCCATTGACCTCAGATTATCTCAGGGTCAGAGAGTTTTGTCAACTGTTTTATACTTTGACTACACTTTGGCTACAAGTACAGTATATCTAGTTCATTCTGATTACCTCAGATCTGGGAGTTTTATCATCTGCATTATTGTTTTATTTTAAAGTATAGTATAAATATTTTCTCCTGAAATGGGAGCTGTGAAAAGGTAAGTTAGTTGAAGCTTTGAAGAAGTAAGTTAGGTTGTGTGTGTGTGTGTATGTATGATTTAAATTGGAACAAATTATTACAATCATGTTCATGAATATGTTTTCCCCAGCTTCATTCATATGACTCTTTTTTAGTGATGTTAATGTGCTCACAATCTATTCTGTACTCTGTCAGTTGTCTAAAAGATTGAGAGGAAAATGGTAGTGCATGGGATATTTATTTGGTTGCTATTTCATATAATTTTTCTTTTTCTGTTTTGACTTCAGCAGATCTGAATTGAAGTACTAAGTGGTAGAATTCTGATAACTAATATAATAAAATCTTAGTCTCAAGAGGAGAAGGCTTAGTATGCCTAATTTTCACTTACTGAAGTTACATAATGAGGCCAAAAATTGAGTAACCAAATACTAAGGAAATTTTAAGAAAAAAACATGTCCTTGGAATAAAGTTTTACTCTCTGCTCAAGTTATGCTCTTTTTGAAGATTCAGAGCCTGTTTTCACTTCTGTGACTATATCTTTTAGAAAAGATTCAGAACCAAAAGAAAATTACAGAAATGCAGCTATCTCTCACTCATCTCTGTATCTCCAGGCTTAGCATAATTGTCTAGCATAAACTCTCAGGAAGTGCTTATTAAAATGAACAAATGACTATCTTTCCACAGTTGTCTTCTTTGTTCTTTGAAAAGACTTAGTAACTGGGAATTCATACTTGAGCTTTTCTAGTTGGCTCTGTAGGAAAGCCCTGCCTGTTAGAATAAATGTTCCTCATAGCTACTGAAGAGCACTGCTGCTTTTTTCAGACTTGACTGAGGAATGGAAGAATATATTCATTTGTTTTTATTCTGTAAATGTCAGAGTTTTGCTGCTGAGGATTTTTCCATTTAAGCTGTGATGTAGAGGGGCAAAGTAATGTCCTTTCGTGTGTTACTAATAAACATGACTGAACAAAGCTGCTTAACATACCAAACTGACTCAAAGAATTTAATGAAAGAAACCACTCCTACTCATTAACATTGATAGATTTTGAAACTAATCAAGAATGACACATTTAGCTCTAATTATATAAACATCTTTTGTTTATCAAAATGCTATTAATTCAAATGTGTTCTCTAGCCTTTATGTTGATATTTTAAATTCTTCTTGGTCCCTACTAGCTTGCATTTTCTATTTTCTTATAAAGTGGAACTTCTGTTAAAAATCATTATGGAATTTAGGAACATATGGTTTGTATTTCAGATGAAATACGCTATTATCTGTAGTACAGCTCTGAAAGCTCAAATTGTTTCTTTGGTTTACCTTGGAGCTTCTCTAATAAACTAATAAATAATATTAATAGTGACAACAATAATAATGGTGGCTACCTAGTATGTACCTGAAACTGTGCAAGGCATTTGATATGCAAAACCAAGCATAAAAGTACAGGATATCCAGTCACATTAGGGTTTTTGTCATCCAGGTCATCTCTTTCTCTGCATTTGTGCCTGCTTTCTATCAGATCTGTCCTTTTTGTGTGTGTGAAAAAATGGGAGGTACTACTTAGTACTATATTTCACAGGTTTTGTGGCCTGGAAATCATGGGTCTGTTTAACCTCTTAAGAATTAAATGGGTGGAAAGACTTTTCTTGTAGTTTCTTCATAGCAATTTTTTTTTTGTAAGACAATTCTTCAGCTATAAATTTAACTAATAAATGGTGACTTGTGTAGTCAATGAGAGGTGTGAAATAAAATAATTACAAAGGCTAGCCTTAATTTTGACAAGATTTGTATCAGAGTCACTTCTATGGTTTGGCCACAGAAAATAGAAGACAGATTCCTTATAAGTTACTTTGACAACTTTAAACTAGAACTTTTTATTAACTGCTGTTCCCAAGATACAAAGCGCAGAGATTGAGAACATTTACTAATTCATTAAAACTTTAAGGATTTACCTTGTTCCCTGAAACCCAGGTGATACTTTTATTAGATGTGTTTTTCTTTCTTAAGTAATTAGAAAAATTCTGTTTTCTCTCATCAGATACTAGGTGAAACTTTATATCATTTATTTATTCCACCTTGTATTTTCATTGTATTTTGGGGAGGAGGGCAGTCCCTCAAATTACTGGTATTTAAAGCCCTTATAAAACTCTCCCACCTTAATTTTTTTCTTTTTCCTTTTAAAGCTACATCTTATGTTCTACTTAGAGGATCCCCAAAGAGAGATTGCCTCTCCATTTACCTTTATCAGTGATTTTAATTGAAGGGATAGATTGAGTTCTGTTTCAGCTTAACTGCTCAGCACATTACATTTCTCTTTGTTTCACTGTAGTTTTCAAAAGGGTTTTCTGGCTTTTACCCAAATTGGGTTTATTGCTTTGGCAATGAGTTGTTCTTTTTTACTGAAATAAAGATGTGTATAATTTACTGTGTGGGAAGTGGAATTCTTAGTGAGATTTAAAATGACTCTGTTTAAATTCCCAATGGTAGCGCATTTGGGCATTTTGATGTTCTTTATATTGTTTGTGTGTGCTTACTTTAAATTCATTGTCCTATTGATTGTTAGTGTGTTTGTTTTGTGAGTTCAAACTTTCTGTACATATTTGTAAATTCTGTTCTTTTAATCCTCATTGATGGGAACCCATATCTGCTTTTACACATTTAATTAATGTGTTCTTTTTGCACATTAATGACATTTAGAACTAAGCTATATATATGTAAATTTTTCTTAATATTTTCACTGCTCTTTTAATGTACAGTGAAAATATTGAAATACAATAAATGTGATTTTTATTTTAAGCCTTCCTCATTTTAACTGTTCGCAGGCATATTAAGTGATGGGAAATCTAGTTAGTATACCTAATATTGGTGTTTCTGAATGGTAGATAAATGTCTTATTATCTCTTTATTTTTGTCTTCTAGGGCTATGATCATAGTTACTACTTCATTGCCACCTTTATTACTGATCACATCAGACATCACGCGAAATACCTGAATGCATGAAAAACTTCAGATAAGAGAATCTCCTCTGATTATGGAAATTGTAATGAGCAGAATTGCAGAGTGTTGGTTTCAAAATGTTGTAATTCTTAATGTTAAGAATGCTCTTTCTATAGTCGAATCACCTTCTGAATAAATATGTAAAATCTGTTTCTGATTTAGAGCTATTTTACCAAAGTTCACATGGGAAATCTTTAATAATTGACAACTTTTTTTAGAGTCATTTGGAACTTATTGTAGTATTGAACTCAGGCTGCAGAGTGAGAATGTAATCGTTCAAATGATAGAATGCTAAATATGGAACAGGATTTAAGTGTAATTTAGTTCAAACTCCTTTTTCAGCTTGTAATACTCTGAAGGCATCGACTCTCTTTGTCATGTTATTCTATCATTAGTTTCTAGTAACTGCTTGGCTTCTGGTAGATATTTATTCCTTTGCTCTTGAATAAGGAGATGGGCTCAAAAATGTTAAGTGAGTTCCCCATTATTATAGTTGTTTGTGAGCCAGGTAAGATCAGAAACCAGATTTCCTAAACCCAATCTCTGTTTGACAAATAGATTTGTGGACATTGATTTTGGGGCTTCTCTCAAGAGGCAAACATTAAATAATAAGATCCATTCTGAATGTAGCTGGGTAAAGTAACTTGTAACTTATATGTTACTGTGTACACACAGATATTTCCCTGAGTTACATGCAGAGATTGAGCTTTCTCATCAAGAAGTGTAATCAATCTCTTTGTAAATACCAAATTGCTTATTTAAGTAAAGTTTTGAAACATGATAATTGATGTCTGGTTGTTCTAATTATATTTTTCTGTTAAAGAATTCAGAGGTTACATACATATGAAACATTTGATAAGAAAGCATATTACTAGGAAATTGAAGATGATTTTTTTTTTTAAAGGCATCTTTTTTTTTTTTTTTTTTTAAGATTTATTTATTCAAGCACTGGGTACAGTCAGAAGCGCGGGAGGGTGAGAGAATTCACCAGAGCCAGAGCAGGGAACAGAACAGGCAGAAGGACTGAAGTACACTGCTGAGGGGAGCAGCGGGTGGCAGGAGAGGTCTGCGCACCATGTGGGACCCTCGCCCGTGGCCGGGGATCGAACCGGCACTGCAGAGGCTGCAGGCAACTTTGCAGCCCAGCTCGCAACTGCTGCACCACCAGGGGAGGCCCCGACTTTTGATTTTTAATGTTACAAAATTAGTACTATTTAAATATCAGTTTTCAAGTCTGAGACCTATGGTGAGCTACACATAAAATGATTCTAGTCTAAATAGTCTTGTACCCATTAATAAGAAGGACTGTTTAATACACAGAAATTTTGCATGTTATTGGTAATGCTTTCATTGAGAAAAGCAGTTTTATTGGTTAAGAATTTAGTCAGAGAAGTGGGACTATTAGGAGATACATACATTTAGAGATTTTTATTATAGGAAATTAAATCACGTGATTGTGGGGTCTGGCTAAACAAATCCAAAATCCACAGAACAGGTCTTCAGGAGAGGAAATCCATGAACTATATGAAATTCCATGGACATAGACTAAAGCTGTTCTCAGCAGCTGAATTTCTTCTCTCAGGAAGCTTTACTCTTGCTTTGTAGGCCTTCTAGCTGATTAAGATAGGCCCACCACATTATCCAATATAACCTTCCTTACTGAAGCCAGTTGATTAGGGACTTTAATTATATTTACAAAATCCCTTCATAGATTAATGTTTGATTGAATTAAATGGGAATTGTAGACTAGCCAAGTTGGTATATCATTATTAAAAAATAGTTGCTTTGCCATTTGCAGGCTACATGCAAAGGCATTTAGATGACCAGAAAATAATTACTGGTATATATCCAGTGAAAACAAAGGCCTTAATTTTCAAATACAGAATTGACCATTGAGGATATATAAGAAATTGATACATTTGAGTTTGCTTCTATGTGCTGCAAATACTGACCTAGGAAGGGGTGAATTCTTATACATGTCTATAAAATGTTTCCCCCACCAGAAAGAAATTCTCTCTCAAAGTCTCTCACTTTTTAAGGAACCATCTCAACGACTTCATAGTAAACATAAGCTAAAAATGACCTCCTAATACTATTAATTATGTGCTTCTAACAGTTGCCTGACAGAATGTTCTAAAAAGAGACAAATGAATAGATGTTGTCAAACTCTCTTAAAGATATCTTTAAGAAAAAACACAATACAGTAAATCTACCATTAAAAGTAAAAAAGGCAAACCATAAAGTAGGTGGAGATGTTTGTAAATAACATTTATCTGACAACTTATTTGACAAATAACTTGTATCTAGAATATATAACTAGCTCCCATAAATTCTTAAAAATAAAACAACAAATAAACCAACAGAAAAGTGAATGAAAGATATGAATGGGTATTTCACAAGTTAGGACATAAGTATGGCAAAAACATGAAAAAAAATCTAGGGAAATGCAAATAAAAGCTTTAATAAAATGCTGTACATCCACCTGAATGGCTAAAGTTAAGCCTGTGTTGACAAGACCTGCTAATGAGAGTGTAACTGGCAGGTCTGTTGAGACCTGCTATATGAGAATGGACATAAAAGTACTATGCATACTAGCTAAAACCTGGAAACCACCTGAGTGCCCCTCTATAATAGAAGGGGTTAAATTGGGGTATATTCATATAGCAGAATATTCGTCATTAATGATAATGAACACACAAGAACGAGATGCCGCAACATGGAGTCTCAAACATAACCTTGTGTGAAATAATTTAGATACAAAATAGATACCATAAAAATAATTTTGTACCATTTCTTATAAGGTTTAAGCCAGTCAAAACTCATCAATGGTGTTAGCAGTCAGCATGGTGTTACCCATAATGGGGTTAGGGGCAAAGGGCTAGGAAGAGGATTAGAGGGCAGCATGACAGGGTTTTTAGAGTATTACTGATGTCCTCCTTGTTCATCTGTGTGCTCATCACATGAGTATATTTATATTGAAAATTCATTGACCATACACTTAGAATTATATATTTTTACATGTGTGCTATATTTCAGTGAAGTTTATATTAAAAATGTAATACATAGTTATTCTGTGAATATCATAAATATAACACTGCACAAAGTAGAAAAAAGTCCGGATGTTAACAAAGAATACTTATTTGGAGGGATAAAGTCTCCATGACCACATCATTTATAGATTTAACTACTATATATCACTTAGAAACCACTTAGTGAAGTTGATGTTTGAAGCTTCAAAATAGTGACTCTAGTGATATTTCTGATTTTCATGATGCAAGTGAAGACTTTGGATAAAAACTTGCTTTTTATTAAAAAATTTAAATTTTATTAAAAATTTTTTATTAAAAATTAGTGGAAAATTTCTGAGTTGATATTTTAAAAGCATTTTTAAAATATATGTGTAATAAGATGTGATGAGTAGACATAATTTTTTTTTTTCAAAGATTTATTTTTATTTATTTATACAAGCACTGGGCACAGCCAGAAGCACAGGAGGGTGAGAGAATTCACCAGAGTCAGAGCGGAGAGCAGAGCAGGCGGAACGACCAAAGCACACTGCTGAGGGGAGCAGCGGGTGGCAGGAGAGGTCGGCTCGCCATGTGGGACCCTCCTTTGGTGGCCGGGGAGCAGTCGGGGATCGAACCGGCGCTGCAGAGGCTGCAGGCAGCTTCGCAACCCAGCGCTTAACTGCTGCGCCACCGGAGAGGCCCAGTAGACATAATTTATATTGATGAGTTCATAAACATATCTCAAACTCAAAGTATGTAACTATTTTGAATTTGGGCACAATGGACATAAATTTTATATAACAGATTATGTTTGTTTATGAAACTTATGAAAACAAAATCACTTTACATTTAAGACAAAAATTGTCATCAGGCCTTTAAAAATCTTTCATTTTGGATTGGGGTTTGGGTGAAAAAAGAAAATGCCATTGGTTGTTCTTCAGTGGTAAGGATGGCAATAGTGACATGTGAAAAGGAGTTGGCAGAGCGGGTGGAGCAAATAAATAAGCAGTATCAACTGCATTTGGCAGCTATATTGGACATGGAAGCAAAATAAGCTGAAATTGATACTAAAGTTGGCATTTCTAATAATGAAACTGGTAATACAAAATGGATCATTTTTTTTAAAGATTTTTCATTTATGCATACAAGAACTGGGGTACAGGCCAGAGATGCAGGGGATGAGAAAATTCACCAGAGACAGAGTGGGAAACAGAACAGGCAGACTGACTGAAATACACTGCAGAGGGGAGCAGTGGGTGAGGTAGAAGAGGTCTGCTGCGCCATGTGGGTAGCTCCCTGGACGGCCGGGGATTGAACTTGTGTTGCAGAGTTTGCGGATAGCTTCACAGTGCTGTGCTTAATGCCTTGCGCCACCAGGGAGGCCCCAAAGTGGATGAAAATTAATTAAAGAAATAGTTTAAAAATTAACTATAAATATATGATTGACAAGATTTAGGGACTCAGTTTGAACTAAAATGTGTAGGATGTAATCTTAGGGATGCAAAAAAGACATAATGGAAGTGAGAAAAACTCACTGTGTAAAGCCTGGTGAAAGGAGATGATTTTGTTTTTAAAGATTTATTTATTTATGCATGAAGAGCAGGGGTATAGGCCAGAGGTACAGGGGGTGAGAGGGTTCACCAGAGAAAGAGTGGGGAGCAGGACAGGCAGATCTGTTGAAATTTTACTGCTGAGAGGAGCAGCGGGCAAGACAGAAGTCTGCTGCACCATGTGTGTGGATTAGCTCCCTGACTGAGGATCGAACTCATGCCACAGTGGCCAGTGGCCGGTGATAGGTTGATAGTGCTGAAACTTTAACCCCTGCACCACCAAGGAGGCCTCTGAAAGGAGATGATTTTTTTGTTCTTTTTTTTTTTTTCTTTGTTATACAATGCTGAGGGGAGCAGCGGGCACAACAGGAGAGGTCCGCCACACCATGTGGCACCCTCGCCGGCCGGCCTGGATTGAACCAGTGCTGCAGAGCCTGCAGACAGCTTCACAGTGTGGTGCTCAACTGCCTGTGCCACCAGGGGAGGCCCTGTTCATTTTTTTAAGA